TTCCATCCCTAATATAAATATATAAATAAAAGAAACACCGCAAAATCCTTGGTCATCTTTACCGTCGACAGGCTGCAGCCATGTCCCAAATTCCTCGTTTTCCAGCCAATTTTGTTGAAATTTGCGTTTTCCCATTCTCTAACATTTTTCCGCCTCGAGCTACTTTTCAGAACATATGGCTTTAAGATCAACCGGAAGCAGTTCCTTGCAAACACGCGCAAACAGTTCTATCTGATAAATCTTAGGAAATTGTTTTTATACATTTTTTTTATGCTTAAATACTTAAATAAGGCATTTTAAATACCATTATAATCACATTAAATAAATTTTAATGCCAATTAAGACCTTAATTTAAAAAAATATTAATTGAATGACTTTTAATGACCCGTGGAAACCCTGTAAATTACTTCTAAAGATCTGGATGTTTTCAGGGAACTAGAGATTTGTATTTGTTAAGAAATAGAACTCAATGTGGTAAATATATATTTGCTGCTACGGCGAGAAGAAAGAAAGTACGAATTGCAAGAAAAGAACCAGTAATAAGAAACAGTTGAACAGACGAACACAAATAAAAGTCTGAGTAAAAACAATGAACAACATTCAATAAAGTGACGAATCAAACCGAAAGCAGACGATTCACAAGCCCACAAACTAAAACAGCGAACAAAAACGAAAAGGAAAGCGACGAAGCAGACACAAACCTGGGCTGTGTTTGCTTGGAGCGGACGTGGCAGAGTTTGGGGCAGCGCTCTTGGAAGTCGTAGAAGACGAGGACAAAGGCGCTGAGGAAGATGAGGGAGAGGAAGGAGGGAGGGTGAGAGCGCCCAGGGCTCCTGCAGGCAGCGGCTGGCCTCTCTTCAGTAGCTGTTTGTGCTCCTGCTGACGGAAGCGCGGGGGCACCTCTCTGGGCGGGTAGCGGGGACCGGCAGAGGACAACTGGCTCTGCTGCTGAGGGGGGTTCTGAGTCAGGCCCTGGCTGCCCAACGGGGGGCCCTTGACATTAGCAGGAGGACAGGAGGAGAGGGGCAGTGTGGGGCTGGAGGTTTGAAGGTGGCGAGATGAACCAGGACTGGGCTTAGTGGGGACAGCCTCTGGCACTGGACAGATACAACAGACCAGCATTTATTGGAGGTGACAGGAAGCAGCATAGCATCAGTTATAGATTCAGTTTAGTGAAAATGCTAAAAGGGCCATGTTAACTTTAGGAACATTTCTACACATCAAATTAAATCCAAAAAAGATTCAATATCTAAATAAACAAGTGGATGTTTCTGCAGAGGAAGAGAAAAAAAACAAATTGAAAGCTTCGCTCCTTCATAAAATAAGAAATCAATTCTATTCAGTTTATTTCTATAGCTCTGTATTTCATCTTACGCACCATTCAATAACATAGAATTTAACATACAATTAACCCTAACCCTGCACCTAACCCTAAGATATAAAACAGCAAGCAACATAGTTAGAGACATTAAGAAGTAATTATTGCACTGTTTTTCCAATTTTTACATCCCTCTAATCGTCATCCTGCTCTTAGAGGAAAATATCCAGACGTTTGAGGCTCTTTCTGCTGGATTCCAAGCCTTCTGTGGTTCTTCAGGGTTCATCCAGTAGCTGAGCAGCCTTGTACAGCCTGGAGCTGAACAAGTGTAAAAAGGGTCGACACTATTTGAAAAGGTCATTCCTCTGTTCTAACATCTATAACAAGCAGCAAAAATCCTGTCTTCATCGTTTCAAGTTTTTTAGGAAAAGGTTGGACCCTCAAAATGAAGAATCCACAAACTATTGTCAATTAGGAGATACGAGTTCTTTTAAACGTAACCAAAGTTTGTTTAAAACTCCATGACAGATCCTTTATACCCGACTCAATGGAAAGAGTCTGTATAAAGAAAGATGGTGGACAAAACCACAAATCAGGGTAACCCTCCCCAGAGGCCAAACTGTTCTCTTTAGAGCTGCTGTGGCAGTAAGGAAGCACACAGTGACATGGAAGCACAGGTCAGCACCGACACTCTGAATTCAGAGTGGTGAGGTTTTCTGCCGTGCCTGCCAACAAACTAAAGAAGCTCGGAGGAAAGCGAAGGCGCGCCAATAACAGAGACAGGAAGCGGGAATAGCATTAATTTATAGCTACATTCACTTCCTCAGGAGCTGAAGTTCACATGCCAGAAGAAAAGAGAAAAATGAGGGCAAAAAGAAAAGGAGCTTATGAGGGTCTCCAAGCACTTCTACCAATCCCGTCAGTGTCAGCCGAGGGGCAGAGTGGGACTCTGACTCGCTCCCACGGTAACAGAATGGCTGCAGGTGGCGTTGAACATTTCTGATTCACTTCAGATCAGATTCACGACATTTACTCGCCATTTGGATAACGGCGCAGCGAATGAATGCTACAGTAGCCTGTCTGATCTATCTGAGTTATTCCACCAGCTTCTTTATCAGAATCAGACATACTTTAATCATCCCAGAGGGAAATTACATGCTGGTAAAGATTCTCAGTCATCCAGGTCACAGTCATTTCCAAAAAAGTAAAGA